GTGTGTGTGTGTGTGTGTGTGTGTGTGTGTGTGTGTGTGTGTGTGTGCTAGACACACCTAACTTCCCTTGGTGGATGTTCTCACTTCCTCCATGTTCGAGCGTGTTTCAGGTTACACCCGTGTATGTGCTCGGACACCACCCCAACATCTGTTATGATCTCAGCCTTTAAGGCCCCACCCTGCTTACATCAGCTCTTTCCACCCACACACAGACTTCACTTTACGCAGTTACACATACATTATTATCAGTTTTACATTTGCTAAATCACTTCATAATTCTTGTTATTCATACTTGCTTTAAAATGATTATTAGATTTCATCCGTTACTCATTATATGCTTCGTGTCCCTTTAGCCTACTTTCAAATCGAACTGTATTCCTTCATTTAAGGCAGCTTTCCTGGGATCTCAACCCTCTTTTTTGACAAGACCAAACAACACAAAGTGTTCTATTTGTCTGATAGGGTCACACTATCAGCAGCTCATTTGTGTTTTCTCACCAATTCTCCTTTTTACGAAGTGACTGTGGACTTGTGTTTTTTACAGGAGGACCTTGTATTGTGAACGGCAACAAACATCATTCTGCAGAAATCATAAAATGGAAATAAAATCTGTTTAAACCTGCATGAATCTGCCCATCTGATAATATCCAGTTATCTTGAGACAGTGAGCCTTATTGTATAGTTGTAAGCAAATATGTTCTATGCTTTTGAGCTGATTTAGTCTGGAGCTAAGGATAGTTTGTCTCTCTGGATAAGACATTTGTAATCTACCTAAGACATTTTTAGTTCTTATGAAGCGACATAGATCAAAGCCTAAAGGCAGTCGGTTTTCAGTCTCTTTCCGTTTCTCTTCCAGGTTCAGGAGTTGTCCGATGAGCTGGCCAAGCAGTTATGGATGGTACTGCAGAGGTCCATGGGCACGGTTCGTCGTGACCCCACTATGCTGGTGTCAGTGGTTCGCATCATTGAGCGCGAGGAGAAGATCGATCGACGTATGGTGGACCGCAAGAAACAGACTGGGTTCATCCCACCTGGGAGACCCAAACGGTGGAAGGACAAGATGTTCGAGGTGACGACCGATCAAGACTACTACTCTTTAAATACTCACTACGTTAGGAAGAATGTTGTTTTGACCGTTAGAATGAAGTAGAATATCTCTGTGTACTCTTTTAGGTGGCCCTGAGGTTGACTTGACTACTATCTAGTTCCAATTATGAAGACAATTGTTTTTCTCTTCTTTGACCCTTTGTCTTCATTTGATTCTTCTTCCAATTTTTTCCTGCTGTCTTACTCTGACTTGTCTTTCTTCCCAAATGGCTACTATCCGATTGTCCTTGCTTGTGTTTTTGTTCTCTCTATTCGTCGTAAAACACCACAACATTTTTCACAACAGTCAGAACTAGTCTCAAGTGATCTAGACCCAAATATGGAGACCATATGGAGGTTGCTTGTGGAACATATTGTCCCCAGTATGTTTCCTTGTAGATTGCATTTCAGTGTCGACCCTTGTGCTTTACTCCAGACCACTCGGAGGTCTGGATTTACCCAGCTAGGATGTCCCGTTTCCGACCTCCAAGACAACTGTCAACAAAAATGTTTCTTTTGCAAGTGTACATACAATTGTACTCTCATCAGTGAAGCCTCGACGATTTCATTTATTGTTTTGCATTTTTTAAGTTTTCCATTTTAACTTTTGTGCAGAGAAAATTATTTTGAGTTGCCTTTACCCCAGTAAGAGGTGGGGTTTTTTCTTCATCTGGCTTCTTCTGAAGTCTTTGATCTGTTTTTGTGGCAGGTGTTGGAGGGTACAGTCAGCACCCGCATCGAGGGCACCCAGTCTGTGACGAGAGAGGCTGACAAAATGTGGTTGGTTCGTCTTTTAGAAATAACCAGGAAATATGTTCTGGATGACCTCATCATTGTCAAGAATCTCATGGTGCAGTGCTTCCCCCAGCACTACAACACTTTCAACAGGTAACACACACAAAATGATCTCAGCACTAAACAAAAGTTTCTGTCGCATTCAGAACAGAAATGAGTCCTCCAAGCACCGCTGAGGTACTTTAAAAATGTAAGCCACATTTTCATGCATCCCTAATAAAGTATCAAATTCTGTCACCAGAACAATGTCATGAATTGAACAATGAATTTTTGTTTTTGAAGTGTTCAATTGTACATTAATTCCACCATCATTTAACACATTCAGGATAGCCGACCCCCGTTAACAGCTCGTTAACCGACAAGATTAGTCCCTTGCATGCAGGCTGCTGTGCTTGAAGTGCCAAACAAGCTGCCCAGCTGGAACTATGAGCTGATGCACAAACAGGTCAAATCCATCACTTATCACCAGCAGCAGTGTGTGCTGAAAACTGAGTCCCCAGGTCACCCATCTGGGAGAGTTAGCAGCCACGATGTTGAGCTCAATTCAATTTTATAGCCCAAATCAAACATTTGCCTCAGAGAGCTTTACAGTGTGTACAGCATACGACATCCTCTGCCCCAGGCAGGATGTTAATGTTCCCTCGCATCGGAACATAAAAAACCCCGTGTGTGTGGCGATGAGTATGAATTCAGCAGTAACGTCACAGCTGTAAATGTAGCGGTGCACTTTACTTGTCGGTGAATAAATACTACAACTCCTCAAGACCAGAGCCAGGTTCCTGTGTCTTGCTTGCCACCTGCTGATTAAAGTGAGGGGGGGTAACAACTGCTGCTCAGGCTCACTTAAGGTGGGCTGACCTTTTTAAGGTGGACATTCTCCTGTAAGTGACAAGCCGCTCCTCTGAGTTTATTTCTAATATTTATTTTTAACTGATAGCATTAATCGGTAACAAATGTAATTGTGGGTTAATTATTAACATCCCTTTTATGTATTTGTGTGTTTCAGGTTTTTCAGTCTCTACCACAATGCTGTGTCCACTCGTGTCAAAGAACTGGCCTCTGAGGACTTGGAGGCTAATGAGATCGTATCCCTGCTAACCTGGGTCCTCAACACTTATAAGAGGTAACACACACAGACACACGCACTTTTACCAGCCCTGTCTGTGTTTACAGTGTTATTGTGGGACATTCATTGTTTCAAAGACGGAACTTTCTTTGCCAATAGCACTCGTGAAACTAGCTGTCAGTGATCATTGTGGCTTGCCCCGTCCATGGGGGGCATTGTATTCCTACCGTGTTTTAAATGTACCTCCTTCTCAATCATTTAGGACGAGGAGTGGCGTGCAATCACTTGGTTTGAGACATCTCCATGGTAACCTCTATGTGGTGTTGATTAATGAGTCAACAGCCTCAGCCCCAGTTCGTAGAGATGGGTCCTAAATCCCCTAAAGCAAGAGTGCCTTAAAGGCCATTATTATTAGATATTTTTTATGTCATACTGTAGTTTAACAGTGGTGTTTCTCATGTGTTCAAATCCAAAGATTCTAAATTTAGTGGAAGTGCCTATGTTTTAGTGTCAAAATGCTACTTTCCCAAGCCCTTCTAAAAAGGTTTCCCACGTGACCTGACGTAGGTTCATTCATAGTCAGTATGTATTACAGTAACTGAGATGGCACAGACAGGAGTCACGGCATGAAAGCTGAGTATCCGAAAGTCGCACACAGGGTCACGAGTGTCTGCATGGCCAAAGTGACATCACACCATCTGACGCGGCCACATCGGTGAAGTAAAGGAGAACTTTGAGAATGCGGGTTTGCCGCGAGGAGAAACTTTTGCACGTCAATATGTTGTACCTCATATACAACCTCACTTCAAAGAAATCACAACCAACTCTCTCAGGTATTTCCAAACTTAGAACAGCTTATGTTGATTCAGCTAGGGCTCGTGTTCACATTACTCGTAATCTTATTGATTAGTTACTGTGGTAACCTACGCCCGTGCTTTTCACAAATGGCTGAGTGGGCTTTTCCATTTGAAAAAACAGACAAAAACCGTAAGTGGAATCCTTTAAGTTATTTATTCATGCATTGTGCTGTTGTTTTGGGGGACACTTTATTTCAGCGTTCAAACTGCGTTAGTCAAGTCAAGCTTCAGCTGTATTTGTCGCACATAGTACCACCATTGAACAGAACTTCCTCAGTAAATTCAGTGTTGTGAAAGTCGTTCAGTCTTGATGGGATTACTGATTCCTGTTATTTATTTAACCTTTATTGTTGCATTCAGCAGCGATGTCATTCTTAACTTGAAAACTAATCTCAGAGCAGCTCATCCAATTTAATGGTTGTAAAAATAGGTATTTCTACACCTGCCGACTGACATTGTATTTGCCGACATCACCGCCAGTCCATCTGGCTTTACCACAGTAATTCAGATCCATTATGATGCTGTTGTCAGTTTGATTTACCTGGTTCATCTAAACCCACAGTCTGCTGTTTATGTTCTCGCAGAACTCGTTCCGATGCTTTTAAGCAATTTACGTGTCCATCCAAACACAAGTGTGTTAGAACAGGCTCACAGAATTCATGAGGCAACTGCAGGTGGAGCTGATCTTTCAGTGAATCTGTGTGCATGTGTGGGTTTCAGTGCGGAGATGATGGGCCATCCAGAGCTCTTTTCAGAGTGCGACATAAACCAGCTGGAGCCTCTTCTGCCTCAAGATGTGGTGGACGACCTGCTCAGCAAATATGTCAAGACTTTCACAGTACGCACCACACACCATGGCATGAAAATGGATGTTAAAGTTTTTTTTGTCACCTACCTATTGTGCTGATCATCACCTATACACCAGTATCTGGCCCAACAATAGAACAAACTCTGTCGCGGCGATGAGCCTGTGTCCCTCCTACACCAGCAGCTCTGACGGTTTTGGATCTTGGCCTTTAACATGTGTCCACACCCACTGGTAAAATCTGCTGGTGCAGGCGATGGTGGTGGCGTTACACACAGTCAACGCTATTGGCTACTTCAAACGCCAATCAATATCCGTGACAAGTCCCTCCCCTCTGTTTCTACAGGAAACAAGTAAATATGCATCATCAAATAGCACTCTGCTAGCAGGTTCTTGAGACCTTTAACAGGAATACTAAAGCTTTGTTTATACACGCGATTGGCGCTTTGGTGCGAGCCTCCGCAGACGTGCTGCATTATTCTCCGAAACGCCAGAGGGCGGACACACAAAAACAACTGAAGAATCAAAGAGACAATGAGTGTAACCCAGAGACTGTAGGTGTAACCGGCATAAAGCCATAAAACAACCTCAACAATGCCATGGAGGGATTGTAATTATCTGTAAACGCATATCTCATATTCATGGCCTACTTTATTGCCTTTTTACAAGCCCTGTAAAGAAACAAGTCAAGTATTAGATCCATTATAAGAAAACAAAGGTTGAATATCCTGTAAACAATTTGATTTGGCAGCAAAATATTATAATATTTTTAAGACCACCTGTTTCTAAAGCATCTCAACAAATAGGCCGTCTTTGTATAATCCCTAGACATGTAAATAGTGCTCTTATCGGTGAGTATACCACGTGCTTAATGGATGTCCCATTCAAGTTATTTAGACTGTAGTCTTAAGTCACATTATGCCTGCCTTTGTTTCATTTGGACTTGCTGTTGGAGTCCACACACAATGCAATTGGACCTGCTGTTTGGACATCCAATCACAGTAACTTCATTACTAGTTAAGTTAAGTGACAAATAAACATTTACTTTACAGAAAAGCCAAGGCATCATAACTGATAAAAGTGAGCCAGGTTACAGAGGCACAGAAGCAATTTTATTTATTTATTTTATTTATTTAAAAGGGACCATGTACAGTTTAAACATAAATGTACTGTACCAGATTGTAGCTTAAGCTAATTTGCATCTGCAGTCCCTTGGCAGGTCAAACAAGGACAAGACAACACAGTAAAAAGAAAAGACATAATACAGAGATACAGTGCATCCGGAAAGTATTCACAGCGCTTCACTTTTTCCACATTTTGTTATGTTACAGCCTTATTCCAAAATGGATTAAATTCATTATTTTCCTCAACATTCTATACACATCAACCCATAATGACAAAGTGAAAACTGTTTTTTGCAAATTT